TAGAGTGCTGAAAATTTATGGGGATGTTCCCCGTCCAAGTAGGTACTAGTGAGCCCAAACCCAACCCCCCCGGGTAATCGTGGTACTCGCGTACGAGCTCGCCAAAATTCTTCCCGCGTAAATTCATAACTCGGGATTCTGAGAAGCTAGAAAGCTGAAATTTTAAGGAAATGTTCCCCGTTCTGGTAGGTGCTAATGAGCTCAAACGCAACCCCCGGGCAATCGTGGTACCCGCACACGAGGTCGCCAAAATTTTTTCCGCGTAAATTCATAACTCGGGATTCTGAGATGCTAGAAGACTGCAACATTAAGGGGTATTTCTCGTCCACATTAGTCTCAACGAGATCAAACCCAGCCCTCGGTCATTCGTGGTACCTACGCACGGATCCACCAAAGTTTTCCCGGATAAGCTTATAACTCGAGAACCTGTAAAGCTAAAAGACTGTAGTTTTAGGAAGATGTTCCCCATCCAAGTTAATCTCAACGAGCTCAAACCCAGACATCGGGTATGCGTGGTACCCGAGTGCGGGCTCGTGAAAATCTTTTTCCAATAAATTGGTAACTCGGGAGCCAGAAAACCTAGAAAGCTGAAATTTTAAGGGGTCTTTCCTGCCAGTTTTGGCGGCTAGTCTTAATTTGTTTAGTTAGAAGGATCTGCCGAAAAAACCGATGCCGGTAGTGACAAAAGCTGCGGGGAACTATGCAAAAAACGCATCATAGCACGGACAGCCCGTGCGTTGGCCAATTATTTTTCTTGGAATCGAGCGGGTGGTCTTTTCGACCCTTCATTTTTTTTTCACAGTTCTGCAGGGCTTCTGTGTTTTTTATGTTTTCGAGGTTAATGCTACGATGATTACACTGCTTGTTCCCTTGTTGAGTTTTCAATCATCGGTTTTATTCTTCAGCACTGTACTTCAGCGATTCAGTGACAACCTAGCTGACAAGGCAGTGTTTTATGATTCCAACTGAAGGTACCAAACCAACCTATTGAACACTTTTTGCCAGTGTTTTGTTGCTTTGGCCAGCATTTTTGGCAAC